GCCTGAAGAAGCCCATGCTTTAGGGCATAGATGGGCTGACTCCCTCAGTTTCTAGTGTTTAACTGTTATCCGCCTTCATCTTTATCATGACATCATCATATTGCTGTTGTTAGCAAGTAGATACTGAACATCTTCTGCAATAAGGCCCTGGATCAGGTGCATGGATGGAGATGGATTAAAGGGAAAATGAAATCCACTTTTTCATCACCGCACACCTTCCAGGTCCCCAGCTCCACGCCTTACTCACGGGGATACCAAGGAGGCATAAGCCACTGCCTCCGGACTTGGACTCTTTCCTAGGACCTTGCAGAGCAGAATGACCTGTGGCTGACCAGTCTGTGCAGGGGTCTTGCCCTCGTCCTGGTCCCTTGGAGAAGCAGCAGCCCCTGTGTGCGGGAGGAGGGAGCTGCTCTCTGAAGTCAGGGGAGCTGGGCCATTTGACAAATGGGAATCATTTTCTTCTGTGTGAGGGCGAGGTCGCCGCTGTGGACATCCACCTGTTTGTATGTGGCCTGATCTGCTGAGCCGCTGCTCTGGGGCTCATTCAGGGACAAGAATACCAGTAAAAATAGTTTAGTAAGGCAGGAGCCAGAGCAGGCTTAAACGGTGGCATCTTTTCAGCTGGCAGCCAGGAGACGGAGCTTTGAATCAGCTTTATAATTTGAAAATTGGTCTCTTTGCATTGGGTGGTTATTTCGTGCTAACAAAAGCCATCAGGGACACAAGGCCGCTTGCCCTTCCTCCATGGCACTGCTCTGGGTTCAAAAGCATTGAGCTGAAGATGGTTATTTTCCATTCCTGGGATTCTTGGATAGTGGTGCCCCCTTCCTGAGTGGGACCTAGAGATACTAAGAGAGCCTCGGGTCTGGGTAGGAAGCCATCCCAGGGGATGAGGGGAGATTGCTGGGAGAAGGGGAGGCTAAGCTGGGCCCTGAAGCATAGCTCCAGTGGGAGGCTAACCCGGAGGGGCCGCACCTGTATCGCCCGTGTGTGACTCCGTGTTTACCATGGCAGTGCCCTTAGTCAGGTCACAGGGCTGTAGCAGTGCTCAGAGCTTCCAGGACCGAACTAATGGAGGTTGTTTTTTTTTTGTTCCTTGGCTAGGGAGAGGTTGACATTCCATTTTTCCCCACGGGCTTCTTTGTATGTGCTTTCTCCAGATGGAGTGCTCCAAAGAGGTCCTTGTGCTCTGGGAACATAAAGAAGGTCACCCATGGTGCAGGGTGGCTCAGAAGTCAGCCTGCCAGGACCTGGCTTTTAGAACCACATCTTGGCTCTGCGGAGCCCTGGTCACCTTGCTCTCCATGTCACCACCTCAGGGTGCATAGGACACACCCTTCACGCAGCCTTTCTGAGGCCATGGATGTGTTCTCATGCCAGTGCTTCCTGCCTTCTTCCGAAGCATTGTCTAAACACTCCAGGATGGCTCGGTTTTTGGAATTGACAAGTAGTAGGAGAAAGGAGGATGAAGACAGTGCTTGGGAATGAGTCCGAAGATTGGTTTGAAGACAGTAGTCTGCAAGAAGGTGTGAGGTGCTGCGGGCTTGTGAGAAGAGATTTGGGGTCTGGAGGGGCTGAGAGTGCTGAAGACATAGGCTGCTTTTATGTATGGGAAGAGAAGTTAGTCTAGGAAATAAAATAGAGTTGATTAAGTGTTGTCCGTGCTGGGCAAGGAGGGAGTCTAGGAAGGAAAAATTATAGATCACAGATTGAATGGACAAATGAGAGTTCCAGTGCTCCCAGCAAACCCAGTAAGACATGAGATTAAGCCACAGGTTACTGGTCACTCCAACGCAGCCCATAGAAACGGGGACACCTTCCACTCTCATTCATCCCAGGGCTGCCCTGAGGGTTACTGGAGAGGCTGTTCACACAGTGGACTTCTTCCTGTGAAGATTATGCCAAACGTAAAGGATGTTCTTAGGTTAGAAATGCAGCAGCCCCTTCAACCTCAAGGCCCATAAACCCAGTAGGAGACGTATGCTTTTCTTGTGGCCGTGGACGTGAGCACACACGTGTGTATGCATGTGGGGCACATGGGTGAGTTCTGAGGAGGCGGAGTATAGTTTAGCAGTGAACCGCGAGTCCTGTGCGTGCTGCAGAAATCTTTCATTGTCTCACTTTGTGACCTTTAATGAGTCATACACTCCTTTGTTTTCTTATGTGTTAAATGGAGATACGAACGCTTGCTGGTTACTGAAGCAGTTCTGATGCTTCGGGTGTCTTTATTAATTCAGATACTGCCTTCTAATTCCTTCCTCTGGGGTATCATAAGAAAAGCGAAGGCCCCAGTCATATCAGGGTCTTCCTAGCTTTATGCTTAGGATCCACACAGTGAGTGCAGGGAGGACAATGGCAAGGTATGTGAGAGAGAGGACTTCTCATAGGAAGTGTTGGGTTCTCCATGATCCTGACATTCTGGGTAAAACACTTTACCCCCCCGGGGGTGCAGCAGCTGCCTGGACCAGCTGGAGCAGAGGAAAGGAGGGGGGTGAATGGAGTAGATGGTGAGACAGGAGCCCGTGTCATGTTGAGAATATAGCCATGAATTGAGTATAGCACAGAGGCAATTTTCCAGGCCCTGGGGAGTGGGCGCGGGGCCCTAATGCTACAGGGACCAGATGGCAATAGTGCAGGAGGCAACTGTCAGGGATCAGGAAGGCAGTGGGCCATCCGGTACTAAAGAAGACCTGATGTGCTCATCTTGGTATCACATAGGTCTGGTAAATTCGTGGCATCTGTGATAGCATTCCCTACCGTTTGTACCCGTGGCAGACATCACTAAGCTATCATGACATACTTTCCTCTTGTACGTGGAGAAGTCTCAGAATCTTTTGGGTCCAGCATTTTGGGCAGTCGTGTCAATCAATTGGTGTAAGAGTAGAAACTTATTTATTGTCTGTCATGGGTGTGATGACAGAAAGGACATAGATTTTGGAATTCAGCAGAAATGACAGCCCAGACAGGTACAATCTTTGTAGCATTGAACAAGCATATTTGTCAGGTCTTTTTTGGTTGCGAAGGACAGAAACCCAATTCGAGTTAGCCTAAGCTAAGTTACTTAAGTAATATAACCAGAAAGCTCAGGGTCTCGTTAGATCAGGAGCCCGGTGAGGATGTTAAGGTCCATCTCTAGGACAGAGTGTCTCTGAGTTCTGTCTGGCTAAGCCAGGTCATTGCTTATCCCCTGGGTGGGGGAGGGGGACAGCACTGAGGGCAACAGGGCTGGTGGTGGAGGCAATAGGGTCTAGATAGCTGGTCACACTGGGAGCAAAAGTCATCTTGAAGGTCAAACATAGAAGGATCAATCCAAGATAAGAGTAGGGAGGGGTGGCTGGGAGAGGTGCCAAATGTTCGTCTGAATACTAGTGAGTTGCAGCGAGGAGAGGGAAGGGGCAGTTTGTTCTGGGCCCAGCAGCTTCCCTGGGAGAGCTGTGTGTACACTGAGCAGAGGGGAGGGCCCTTGCGGGGAGCCTTGGAAGCTACATATGTGCAACTGGTCTGGCTGCTCCAGCCACGGTTCTCTGGGCAGCTGATTTGGCATCAGATGCCAGGCTCACTGCCCACACTATCACCCCATTCTCTGCTGCTTCCCTTGATCCCATGGCACCCAACCAGGTGACAAGTCTCAAGGCCATGCATCTGTTCTGGGGCATTCAGGTCTGGGCCCAGGCTGAGCTGATCCTGGGTAAACCTTGTAGGATTCTAGGGTGAGGCATCCAGCTGATCAGACGGAGGAATGCCCACCAAGTATGCATAGTGTCTTAGGGGCAGTCTTGAAGGCTTCAGTTGCCTTTATACCAGAGAAATGCGGATGCCTCTACTCTGGATTTCACTGGTTCCTGCACAGGTTTCCTCCCTGTGTCCCTCTACCCCACCCTGTCAATCCCTGCCATACACAGCTCCTTTTCCTGGATATCAAATGTTATGTAATGAATCACCCCAAAACAAAGTGGTTTATAGTAGCAAGCACCTGGCTGCCTCCCACAGTTTCTAGGGGTCAGGAATTGCTTGGGCTCTCCCATGAGGGTGCAGTCAGATGGTGGGTGGAGCAGCTGGGGGCTGTCTTGCAGTCTCTCCCTGCTTGTGGGCTTTCCGTGTCGGCTAGTATGGGCTTCCTCACCCCATGGCAGCCTCAGGGCGTGCACATACTGTCATTTCTTATGTACTTTTTGGTCAAAGTGGTCACCAAAGACCAACCCCATTTCAGGAGGAAGGGACACAGATCCTCTTTCTTAATGGGAGGGATGTCAAAGGATTTGCTGACATAACGTAAAACCATCACAGCCCCCGACCTCCTCCTATCCAGTCAACACTCATTGCCCAGATGGGTTTGAGGTACCTGGATGTGATCTAACTTGGGTCCAATGCCTTCCTTTCATTATACTATTTTTGGTTTTTGGAACTTGGGTACAGAGACTTGAGTGAATTCCACTCTTCAATTCATTGTGCATTTGTCATCATTGATTCGTGCAATGATTCTCTCTCCATTCATTCATTCATTCATTCACTCTTCCCTTTTATCCCCGTATCCTACATTCCTTTTTCCCTCTTCACTTTCCTTAAACAACCATTCTATTTTATGCATCTCCTTTATGTGTATATGTTCTTACAAATGTAAGTGACGTATATCATGTTGCATATGTATGGTTTTCTGTGTCCTCCTTTTCTCACTTGCTCCGTGTTTCCGGGTCCATACATGTGCCATGTGTGTATGCTGTAATGCATACATCTCATGTCTGGTTGCCTAAGATGAGTCGGTGAGATTGGAGAGGAGGAGCGACACATCCAGGGTCACACAGCCGAACTGGGACAAGAACAGTTTCCCTGACTCTTTTTGCTCAGCAGCACACACCCATGTTTTCATGCGCCACCGCCCAGGCTCTTGCTGCAATAGTTTTGAAATAAGATTTAAAAAAAAATTGCGAGTCTGTGTTCCTTTTCCGAGCTCTCCTGCTTTCTCCCTAGTAACTGCCGTCCTCTGTCCTCTCCTCCTGCAGGTTCCAACTATGGGAGCCCGCGCCCTGCTCATGCCAACATGAATGCCAATGCTGCTGCAGGGCTCGCCCCTGAGCACATCCCTACACCGGGGGCGGCCTTGTCCTGGCAGGCGGCCATCGACGCGGCCCGGCAGGCCAAGCTGATGGGGAGCGCCGGCAACGCGACCATCTCCACGGTCAGCTCCACACAGCGGAAGCGGCAGCAGTACGGGAAACCCAAGAAGCAGGGCAGCACGACGGCCACGCGCCCGCCCCGTGCCCTGCTCTGCCTGACTCTGAAGAACCCCATCCGGAGGGCATGCATCAGCATCGTCGAATGGAAATATCCTTTGCGCTCTGGCTTGGGCAGGGTGCCCCCTGGGACCCTGGGTGGGGCTGGCCCCAGGCTCGCTCCCAGACCGTCTTCATCACTGGGGCACTATGTAAGTGCAGAGTTTTAGGCGCTACCTGAGACTCAGTGACTCAGAATGTCTGGGGATAGGGCCCAGGAATCTGTTGGAGTAACAAGCAGGGTCTTTTTTTTCATATATCTTTTTCATACCATGAGCAGCATTTGAGAAAGCAATCCTGAGAGGTCGTATCATCTCACCTAGCTGAGCCCGTCCAGGGATCTGCTGGTGTGTTGGGTGAATAGTGGTTACATACCCCATAGCCTTCTTTGGCTCCTGTGTCATGGCACTGGTGTAGTTTCATGACCTCCACTCTCTCTAGGAGGAGGAAGCCCGAGAAGTGCGAGAGGGTAGTGGTCAGTGACCCACCCTGGCTCGTGGTTCTCAAACTTGGCTGCACATTGGCATCACCTGGAAAGTTGTAACAAAATACAGGTGCCTGAGCCCCACACAGGCATATGTCAAAGTTCTCCAGGTGATTCTCATGTGCAGCTGAAGTGGAGAACACTGGCCGGGAGTTTTAAACACAGACCCACATTGTATGCATAGAACCCAGCGAGTGGGCCCTTCAGAGAAAATGGCTTCGGAGGGCCAGGCTCTCACTGTGGAATTACAGGCCCCTTAACGTCATTGGAATTGTGGGGTGGTGGAGATCGAAAGGAGCTTCAAGATGAGTAGGTCCACCCCTGACTTTGCCCAGTGATGACATTGAGCCCCACGTGGTCATATATTAGTGACAGACAGGTGAACTCTGGTACTTAGTGTTGGGCATTTTCATAATAATTCATTCAGGCAGTGCTACCACGTCTCCTACCATGTCTCCTGTGGGGCTCAGGTTAGGAGGGTTCCGTGTCATTCATGAGTTTCAATGGAAAGATTGAGAAGCCTTAGTAGGTAGTGGTTGAAAGGCAAAAGAAGATGGCTTGGGAGGGAAGAGCTTCTGTTTAGCAAGACATGTCAGTTCTATGTTTGAGCCCCTCAACTCAAAAAGTAACTTTAAGAGAAAGCAGCGTAAGCCGAGTGGCGGCTGGAGAGCTGGCCATCTGTCCTGCGTGGCCAAGTGTGCTTCCCGTCCCAGAGGACCGGGTGAGAGGCTTGGCTCTGGGCAGCCCCAGCATGCTGCTGTCATAACAGCTCCATCAGAACCATGCAGTGGGAGAGCTGGGGGCCATGTGGGTCAGACTCCCCCAAAGGGGAGGGGGCACTGAGGCCTGGAGAAGCTGAAGATCTTACCCAGATCACACAGCCTGCAACTGATAGAGCTGGGTTTCAAATCCAGGTTCCCCAAGTCCCAGTCCCTGTGCGTCCCATTCCCCGTGCACCCGTAGTGCAGAGGAGACATACTAGGGTAGGCTTTCAGGGGACGCCAGCCAGCCCACTGGGACACGGAGGGACCTAGATCTGGGGCCTGAACTACCACGCCCCATCATGGCGCTGCCACCTGTGTTCTGAGTGGTCACAAGTCATCGGAATCACCAGAGCTTCTGTTTCCTCATCTTTAGTGGGCAGTAACCAAAGTATTAGCTAGGGCTGTGGAGTCTATGCCTGTGGAAGCATGCCCAGAAAAACACGTCAGGGGACGTATTCCGTGAGGATGAGTTGACTTCATCAAGTCTGTCTTCCCCTCCCGGGACAGACAGCTCCCTGACAGGCAGCACTGCAGGCAGAATGAAGTGCCAGGTGACATACTAGCCTGGGAGGAAGGGAAGAGGGCAGATAGCAGCACACAGGGCAGGAGGGGAAGTGTGAAAGAGCAGGGCTTTGTAATGGCGGTGTCTGGTGTGCCGTCCATGGAAACTGGTCACAGAGCCACAGGAGGCCCGAGGCAGGGACTCGTGAAAAGACTGTTGACCAAGTCAGCAGCAGTGTTAGCCAGGCTGTGACCCAGTGCCACCTGTGGAGCTCAGCCGCTTCCCTGGTTGGGCAGAGGGGTGCTGCAGCCAGCCCACCTGGCGGAATGGGTCCTCCCCCGCCCTGCAGGGAAGGAAGCGGGCCCAGCGTCCGCACTGCTAGTCAGATGGCATTCCCAGACTGCCTTGGAAGGGTAGTTGGACAGGTCAGGAGATGGTCTGGTGTACTCGCTCGTCAGTGTTCCTTGAAAGAGTGGAATCTGATGCTGTCATTAAGAAGAAAAGACAGTTTAAAAAATGATCTGGCTGTCACAGGGTGACACAGTACGTTTCCAGGTCTTACCTGGCATCTCCTCCACCTTGCACTCGTGGCTTTTCTTATCTGCCTGATTGGTTTCTTTACACATTATCGTCTCCACAGTAGCCAGGGACTTTTAGCATAAGATGATGGATGGATAGCCTGGATTGGGGGAGGATGTAGAAGTGATAGTGTAAGAAACACCCCAAGCTTAGCCGCCACCCACTTTGGTGGAAGGAATGAGTTGATGTTTGAGGACAGGTACCTTAGGTCTGACTCGGTTGAACTGAGGTGCTGTAGCCCTGGTGGGGGGGCGGGGCACAAGGGATCAGACGCCGGGAATGAAACCAACCAGCCCCTGGGCCGAATGGGACTTTCCTAAGCAGGTGGGAAAGGGCTAGGAGGGAAGGGGTTTCATGGTAGGAGGTCTAAAGTACGAATTTTCTAAAAACGCTTTAGGGTAACTTCAGGATAGGTCAGCATAGAAATCAGCATAGAGTAAGTAGTCCTTACAAATTCCGACTTTGGAACCAGACTTCCTGAGTTTGAATCCCATCCTACCACAAGCTGTGTGACGTTGGGCAAGTTAACATTTCACCTCTCTGCTTCCTCAGTTAGAAATGGGGATGATAACTGCGTGCTCGTTCGGGTGTTTGTGCGGAGCATTTCGAGCAGAGCCCGGCACAGAGTAAGCGCATGGTGTCAGCCACTGTTCTGCCTGCTGCTGTCCCTGTCATCAGCACCACCAGTGTCATCCCTGCTTCCTTGGCCAACTCGGGGCAGCACAGCGTATCGGAGCAGATGAGTCAGTAGGTCCGGTTCTGGGCCTGGCCCTGCTCCTTGTCAGCTTGGAACCTGGGAGAGGTGGTTTTGTTTTCTGTATCTGCATGAAGTGTGTTGGTAAATGGACCCTGTCTATGCCTGTGGGACCGAGGGGGATCCATGACCAGCACACCAGCTAAAGCCATGACTAAGATGCCTTCCAGGTCATTAACACAGGTCAGAGGCCATTCACGGCAGGGGGATGAACAATGGACTCTGTGCTCAGGGAATCTGGGTTCTCATCTTGATGGGAAGTACCTGCTGTGGGGTCTTGGGAAAGTTTCTCAGGCTCTCTGGGCCTCAGAGGTTTGGATGAGGTGATCTCTAAGGTCTCTCTTCCTGCTTCAATTCATTAACTTGGTGAGTACAGGTTTCCCTGGGAGAGGAAGTTGGTCCCTTCTTCCAGGGTTTTCCATCCTCTTTCCCTTCCTCATCTTGTCAGGCTCCACGGACGAGGCTGACAAGTTGGCAGTGTTGGGGAACCAGGGGAAGCTGGGGCCCAAAGAGCATGAACTGGCCTTCCTCTGAAGCCTCTCCTTTCTGGCCTTTAGTTGTAGGTGCAGAGTAGAAGGACCCTTATCATATTAACTCCTTTTTCTCTGGAGACTGTGTTCTGCCTGATATTTTGGTAAAGAAATCTGGGCACAAGAGCCTCACTGAGTGCACTGCTGCTGGTGAGTGAAGCTGGCTTATCCCTCTAGATCCTAGCACACACCAACGCAAGTCAGGAGGTCCTAGAACGTAAGCCTTGCCCACCGAAGGCAGGGCCTCCACAGACTGAAGAGGGTTAAGGTATTCCACATGGAGCTGTGCCTTGGAGGAAAGATGGTTGCCCTGCCCTGAAGGCACAGTACACGGGCTGCCATGCTCTTGAGGGTGAGAGCCCCCAGCCATCGTCAGGTTCTATGGAAGGTGTCAGGAAATAAAGTAGAAGAAAAAAACAATAACCACTCTAAACTTCAGATTAAAAGATCAAAAGTAAATCTCCAAATTTCAATGAAAAATCTTGACGTCAAGTCTGCCTTAAATCTGTCTCACCTCTCCCGCCCCCAGCTCGGGTTCCCTGGGGGGCAGCGTGGAAACCGCGAGAGAAGGAGTGTGTGGGGGACGGCCTGTTCCGACTGGAGCAGGCCCTGCTCTGTAGAGGCAACCCCAAGCACACATGGGGGAAAATGAAGTCCAATGCAATCTAAATAAATAAAAGAAGAAGAAAAAAAGTTTTTAGAAATCTGTGTTTACTCTGGCACGCGACTGGCCTCCACTGCTTTTGACATATTAGGAAAAATTTTGGCGGGGACCCATTAGAAGCACTTAAAAAGGCATATGTTTCTTTTCAGAATACAAGGGGCTTGGAATGTATTGTTTAAACAAAATTCTTATGAATCTTTGATTCATTTAAAAAATATATATATGTATGTTTGTTTCACTTGTGCTTTCTGCAGCATTGACTTCCTTAACTCCCTTCCTCAGACCATTTGAAATAATTATTTTACTGACTATTTTTGCCAATTGTGTGGCCTTAGCGATCTATATTCCCTTTCCAGAAGATGACTCCAACGCCACCAATTCCAACCTGGTAAGTCCACCATCCCGTCTCTCTCTGCTTCTCTCCCTCGGGGGAGAACCGAGCTTGGATCACATGGATTCAAGGTGGAATGTGGGGGGAAGTGAGATGTGCATTTGACACGAGCAGAGGTGCTGCCGAGCTCAGATCTCAAGTGCTATTGCTCTTTATTCAAATCAGCACCTGTCTTATCACAGCCTGTTTTCAGAAAGAATATTACAGTTAGGTGGTGGTGATTGTGTGTGTGTGTGTGTGTGTGTGTGTGTGTATTTTGAGGGCTATAAAATGTGCTGCTTAAGTTGCAAGTGCAGGTGTTTGCAGGAGCAAGCTTTTATTCTTGGATGATTTTTGTATTTATTTTAAGTGACTGTGTCCCATTGGTGAGGTTTGCTCAGGTGATCTGTAGTATCACTGCACGAGAAACAATTTCTAGGAAGATTTTAGGAAAGTTTCCTTTTGCAGCCAAGATGCATTATTTAGTTGAAAAGGTTTTCTTTTCTTGGGAAAGGCGGCTTTCCATCTGGATTGTTGGGAAGCCAGTGCTGGCAATTCGGGGTTAGAATTTGTCCATGGAAAAAGCGCGGAGTGTGTTTACTTTTGGCCGAGCGTGAAGTCATTACAGAGGCCGTTGCTCTGGCTGGGCATGGGAGGAAAAGAGCTCTGGAATGCAGTTGGCAAAATCAGGGCAGTCCCGGGTGCCTCTGCCACAGGCCATAGGAAAATCCTGTCTCTCTCCCCCTCCCCCGCAGAGACACCATAACTTTTCATGTGATTCCCACCAACGCCTCTTTCCCCGTCGTCAGCACCTTCCTCTAATTAGCGAGATTGGACTGTCTGATGAGATCGTTCCCCAAAGAAGCAGGAGGGTTACCAAATTCTCCTTTCCCTTATTGCTGGCTGCTGATGGCATCACGGCTGTATTCTTTTGCTTTTTAACCTTTGACATTTTCTTTAGCCCCCTCAGCAACTGAATCTGAGGCGCATTTTAAACTTCTCTGCCGTGTTCCCCAGTTGGGACAGTTAGGCCCAGCTCCATATTGGGTAAGGTGGTGTGGTGCGAGCCGGGCTGCAGCGTCTTAGGGCTTGACTTGGGCTGCGCGTTGGGGACAGTTTCCAGAGCTGGCCTGGGAGCTCTGAGGGAGGACATGGCCAGAGTCGGCAGGCAGAGCACTCCCTGCAGTCCACGAGGCCTTCTGAGGCGTGACCTTGTCTCTTAATAGGCAAGAAATCTTTACTGTGTCAGAATAAACACAAGCCAAAGTGTCTCCCAAATGGCCCTTGGAAAAGCAGGAGCATCTTCCGTGGGCTGTCCTTCTCGGTGTATCCACCTCCCTCTCCCAGCATGGGCCTCCTGAATCCCAGGCAGCTTCACACTTCATCTGTAACTTAAAAAAAAAAAAAAAGGATCTGTGTCTTATTCTGAAGACAGGGAGGCTTTGGTGGGATCTAGGCAAAAGCAGTGGGGAAGGTGGGTAGAGAGTTTGTGTTTAGTCTCTGCCCCAGCCCCTCTGGGCTGAGCTCCCTGGGGGATTAGCAGCAGCACGGGGAGGGGGTGGGGGGTGCTGCACAGAGAGAGGAGTCTGGGCTGGCTGCTGTCTGGGTCTGTGAAGCCCATACTTGGTGGCGGTGGCCTGGCTGGTGGGACCATGAGGGGTTGTGTTGGACTTACTCCGGAACTAGAGTGGAGGAGGTTGCTGGGTGCAGAGACTGCTGGAGGGACAGTGGATTTTTAAAATCCCACTGCAGAGTGATGGAGGTGTTCTGAAGCTGGATGCACAGCTGTATAACTGTACTAAAAGTCACTGAGTCGTATACTTAACAATGGGTGACTTTTATGGTATGTAAATTATACCTCCATAAAGCTGTATTTTTAAAAAAGAATAACACCAGCATGCAAGCCCCGGCCTCACAAGACCTCCCAGTGTGAGTTGCATGTTGCTATTTTCTCTCTTGCAAATGAGGGGGGAGGTTACATAGGTGGAGGGAAAGAGGGGATGGGGACAGCCAGTGAACTTTGTTGTGACATTACAGTAGGAATTTGGGGGGTGCGGAACAGAGTGTGCGAGGTTGAAAAGGGGTTTCTGGTTGCTAGAGCAGTTCTGACTTCTTTCAAGCCACAGCTTGGCCTGAGTGAAGGAAGCGTGTTCATGTTTCCTTTATCCCCCAGTCCAAACACACACAGACATACACCCAGACACACATGTAGACACACAGACACACAAACACAGATGCAGGTACTCACATAGAAATATACACAGACAGACGCACACAGAGACATGTACACACACAGATACACAGACACACAGAGACGTGGACACACACAGACACACAGAGACATGTACACACACAGATACACAGACACAGAGACGTGGAGACACACAGACACAGACACACAGAGACGTGGACACACACAGACACACAGAGACATGTATACACACAGATACACAGACACAGAGACGTGGAGACACACAGACACAGACACACAGAGACGTGGACACACACAGACACACAAACACACAGAGACGTGGACACACACAGACACACAGAGACATGGACACACACAAACAGACACACAGAGACATGGACACACACAGACACACAGACACACATACATGCACACATAGACATACATACATGGACATACACATGGACACACAGACATAGGCACACTCTTCCCTAATTCTGCTCTATCCCTGAACTTCCTTTAATATATATATAATTTTCAGATTTTAAGTTTGAAATGTTTTTTCAGGAAGAGTCTGCATTTGCCACTTCCGCCAGTTTGTTTTTGCTCTCTCTTCAGCTCCGTGCTCTCTGTGTTCTGTCCCCATCTCTAGAAAGTAAAAGATATGGATCTCAGTTGGCAAACTCAGGAGGGAAGAAATGCAGCTTGTTTTTGCTTTCCTATCACTGAACATCCTATCTGATTTGTGACTCCTGTTTGCCAATGCTATAAACCTCACCTCTGTATGTTCAGGGCTCTCAGCCCCTTCCCTGGAGTTGTAGCTAAAGACCATTGCATTATGGAGCCAAGGGGACATGCTGCTCTTGGTGTGGTTGATCCACACTGTTGAAGTGGCCTTGTCCCTCCTGGAAGGGCCTTGGTCTTTGATCCACGCAGGCAGTGTGGTCTCTTGTTCCCAGCATGGGGTCTCTTGATCTACAGCTCTGGACCTCTCCTGGCCATGCTGGGGCTGTGGGAATGGGGACATGGTGAAGATTACACGGGCCCCCTTTCAAGGACATACCCCAGGGTCTCACTCATTTTTGTTTCCTGGCTGATGCTCCCAGGTCCACCATCTTGGGATCTTTGTTTGGGGCAAGGTGGCCCTCCTGTGGTCGTCCAGACTGTCCTCAGTGCCCTGGCCTACATTCCCTGAACTCTGAAGCCATGGTGTGACTCCTGTTCTCTGCCTTCCACTGTGTCATACCTTCCCTGGGACAGTGAAGGCCACTGACCTAATGGGAGGGGACACGGTGGCCAAGGGGTATTAGAAAACCCCTGAAACAACCAACCAAACCAAACCCACATTGGCTTATAGGCCAGGCTATCATTCTGCTCCCTGGATGTAACCAGTATGAGTGTTGTGATTCAGGCCCTCTTCTCCCTGCAGCATCTTACACTGTTAGATGCCCCTCTGCAGAACTCTTTTGCCCCTTGGCTTTGGGACAGAGTTACTATTAAGTCCCCTCCTATCTCTTACCATTTTTTTCCTGCTTCTTCTAGTTTATTCTTGCTTCTACGGGAACTTTGACCAGGTTGCTGTCCTGGGCCTCTTATTTTCTCTTTTTGTGGTCTCCCCTTGGTGAGCTCAGCTACTTCCACAATTTCATGTACCCTTTCTAGGTAAGTTGTTCCTAGACTTATGTGCCCAGCTCTGAGCTCTTTCCTAAGGTCTGGACTAGTATTTCCTACATTAGAGAGGCTTGTGGACCAGTGCAGTGACTCCTGAGACCAGCTTGATTGTTACAACCACTTGGATAGCTTCAGTGGAAAGATGCCAATGCGTTGGTAGATCTGATTCAGATTTAGTAGTTTTGGGGCATGGCCTGGGAATATGCATTTGAAAAATTCCTCATGGGCTGGAGTTGGGGGGCTAAGAATCAGTCAGGTTTGGGAACTACTGGCTTTTTGGATAGAGCTAAATTTTGAGTTGGGCTGATGTGGGTTCATGCCTTGGCCTTACCACTTTGTGTCTTAATCTGGATGGTCCTGTGGAGTTGTTTCATCTTCCTGAAGCTCCGATCTCTGGCCTGGCAGATGGAAGTCACACTCCCTCCCGGGGTTCTGGGGCAGAGCAGGGCTGGCTGTGATCAGGAAGCACCCAGTGTGGTCCTGGCCCACAGTGATATGTGCCAGGATGTCTTGCAGACACCTCAAACAGACAAGCCCACATAGGACTCTCAACTTCTCCCTCCTCACACAACCAGTCTCCAAAAATAAAGCAAAAGAAACCATGCAGGAAACATGCAGGAACATTGCTTCTGACCTTTGCCTTTAGCCCCGTTGCTGGCTCTGCCGACCTTGATGTTGTACAGAGTCATCTTGAACACCTTCTTCCCCTCATCGTGCTCATTCAAGCAGATTCAGATACGGCCTCTCTGTTGGCGGTCTATCACATTTAGCTTCCTTTCTATTTCCAAAGTCATTTGTGTAAGCGTTCTGTGCCTTTGCTTCTTTGTCTATAAAATGGGAATATCTACCCTGTAAGTTGCTGTGAGGATTAATGAGACAAGATGTTAAAGGCTCTTAGAAGAGTGCCATGGGGAGGGACATATCTGTAGTCTCACCGAGGCCCTGAGATAGTAGACATGTAACCACAGTTTGTTGAGCGTCAGTGTCTTGCCACAACATGGTCCCCCAATCACTTAGTTACCCCTAAATAAAAGCTCGAGAATTCTCCCATTACTTTCATGGCCCGGTCCCATCTTTTAAATAAGGAAGTGCTGTTAATAAATCACGTTTTGCTGGTACATGAAAGCCCACAAAGACTGTGTCTGTGTGTGTCCAC